CACAAAATTACAATAAAAGTGTAATAGCTTCCATAGATATGCGCATATATATATATTTTTTTATTTATTTTAAGCATATTATCAGAGACCTTGGCATCTCTCTAGATTTCAGCATTTATTGTATATTATTCGACAGCACCAAAAGTAAAATGAGAGCTGCTTTTAGATCTGTTTAAAATCAAGGTAACAATCACCTTTTTGAACATTTTCCTGTTGAACACATTCCTTTTTTAATGTTTTGTTTTAGTTTGGTTACAGCACTGTTTGAGAAAAAATCTAATTCCCTGATGCCTTTGTTCACATATTTCGATTTGGCACTAAATTGTTAGCTGTTATTTTTTTTACCAAATTATTCATCAGGGAATTTCGCCAGTGTTTTACCTGTAAGGTATAGCTGAATCTGCAAGTTGTCATTGTTTGAATTATTGTTTTGTTGCTGACAAGACATCACCAACAGAAAAAAAAATAAAACCTACCGTAGCCTTTATTTGGTAAAAACATCAGGGGTGCATAAAGCTCAGCTTCATAAACAGCCCTTGTCAAGGTGGTTATTGTCTTTTCTTGCTCTTCTTTGTGTAGAAACTACTTGTTAGGTATCAAACTAAATTAACAATGAGGAGCTAGGCAGATTAGGCTGAATACAGGATATTTATAGGCTACAGAGTAAGATTTCTTCCATGAAAAGATCAGTGTCTTGATGAGTTGTGTGACTGACTTCTTAAGCCTTAGTGTGATCAACACCATCTCTTAGAACACTGAGAGGCCTTCCTATTAACAGCCCAACCTTGAATCAACCTAACCTGAAAGCACTCATTAAAAAGATAAAAAGAGCCCCAATGAGGAAGACAGGGAATTTTTAAGGACGGTGAATAACTACTGTTCAAATTTGGCTTCATTGTAGCATCACAGTTGACTGTACTCTCCACCATTGGTTTGTACTGTCAACACCTCATGGTTCCAGTGCAGTTCATAATCATTTATCTGCAAAAAAAACTTAGATGACGAACCATTTTTTGAAATGGTGTCTGCTGGGGAAGATTCTCATGCATCCAGGTCATTCCAAAAAAGTTAAAAAACAATCCACTGGACTTAGTTTTCAAGTTTGAAGACATTTTGCTTCCCATCCAGGAAGCTTTTTCAATTCAAAGTGTCAGGGTTAGCACTGAGTTCAAAGTTTTATTACTGCAAATGGATCCAAGACTGTTATCCAAGTCATTTTGAATATAGTTACAGGTATTCGGTGACACTTAATTGCAATTAGGTTCATCATTGATGGGAGGTTTACTTTGGAACGTGCTGGTGAAGGTTCTAAGTAATTTGCTGGAGTGTCTGAAAAACTTTAGGATTTTCTTCAATGGTGTGGTAAAAATAATGTCATCTTCAATTTGAACTAAACAAAATACATATCTGTAAAGATTCTATGAGCCACTAGCTCTGTACATATCTAATTTGTGCCTGGAATGCAACTTATGAATATTGTGCTAAAAAGCTTTATCTTAGAGAAGACAACCCAGCATAGATCGTTCAGAGATGTGCAATCAAGTTTGAGTGTTAAAGAAAGTAACAGGACTATCAACAGAACTAAAATAACTACAACTACTATCAATAAAGACAGGTCAACATTGACTTTGAAAATCACACAGATTCTTCATCTTTACATCCTCTTTTATATCATACTCGAAGCTATTCTAGCCAATAGATTGCAGCGTGACAGACATTAAGGGAAAAGTCAAATAACACATGAATTAATATTCTCATTGAATACTGTGTTCTTCAGATGTGCAAGGGACACATCTAAAAATGCAGAACCCCAGCTCTTGGGGGATTTGAGTTTAATACCTTGTTTTTCAAAAACTCTATAAAAAATGAAATTAACTAACGTTGTTTGTACTTGTTATTCCTACTACCATAGCAGTAAGAATTAAACAGTGGTAAACAGTAGCTAAACTAAATGTCAATGGACAAGTTATTTTTGACATACATTTTTATCATCTAATGTGACCTAATAGAAGTTTAAAATTAAATATAACTCCATAACTAGGCCATAGTCAAAAAATCTCATCGCCTTGGAATGTCTCAGGTTGCTTAGAAAACACAGAGGGAAGACCTAGAACAATGCCAAATAATTCCAGGTCACAAGGGTTCATGTGGGCCTCATGACTCAAAACCTAATTGTCTCTACAGTACTGTTATTATTGAGCACTGGAGCTTGGAGCCTGAAGACATGATGTTGCTAGGAAAATCCTGTAGCAGGTGCACATAATCACTGTTGAGGAGGCCAGCAGCCCTGAGCTCTACCGGTTTAAGCCGCTGACTAAGAGATTCTGTGTGGCTGCTCCCTCCTCCCACACACAGTGGCTCTCATGGAGAACATCAATAAATATCCGATCTAAGCACTTTCATGTCTGTGACCCGTTGTCACAAAATTAATGCAAAATCACTATTTCATATTCGAAAGATGAGCCAAACTCCTTTTCTGTCCAGTTTTAATGCATTTTCTATTTCTTTTATCTATTTTCTCTTACAAATTAACATGTTTTTGTTTTTACACAATAGCTTTTCATTTTTAACTAGTGTCAAACAAAATTGACAAGATGATGTAGTCTTTTTTTATGATTTTAATATAATATTTTTTCATTAACTATTTTAATTAAGATAGCTATGATTTATTTTCATGTTTTGTTATTATAAAATAAAAAAAAATTGTTTGTCTTTCCCTAAATGAACAAATTTTGTTCAAGGTAGAGCTGGTGAGTTGAGTTCTCTCTTGCTGAGGTCACGTCCTCAGCCAAGCCAGTAGCAGAAATCAGATGCAGTGACCAGTTTCTAACTTGAGGAAGGTGCCAACAGATGGTTTGACAAAAAGGCAGGACTTCAAAAAACATGAGTTAATTCATCAAATTAATGTTCAGGAAATGTAGACAGTACTATAAAGGGCAGGTTATCCTCCCGCAGCAGTGTGTCGCAGTGAGCTTGTCGCAGATATTTTTGATTTAAGCCCACTATTGAAGCGTGGTCTGTGCTATGTTATTCCACGCCACAATGCAAGACGGACAATCACAAACTAGCTGTGGGTCTAGATACGGCTGAGGCAGTGAGGAAGTGGAAAAACTTAAGGAGCAAGTTTGTGCGACAAGGGAAGGACATGAGGGCAAAAACATGACGGGGATCCAGGTGGAAAAAGGGTCCTAGCGTTCTCGCGCACCTCGCTCTTCTAGCTGGTCCATCTTCATGTGTTGTTTTCTACAAAGTCATACAAACAAAACAAGCTGGTAAGGTACCAAACAGGAAATATAGATAGTACAGAGCGTATGTAGATTTGACCAATCAGAGGCCTCCTGTCTGTGGCACTGTCTGCAGTCATCTACAATTTTGGAGAGGGGTACCAGAGTGTCTGCGGAAGGTGCTGGGGCACATCTGCGTTCACTGCGACACACATGCAGAGGACCTGGTCTCTGAGTGTAAACGAGCCTTAAGGTACTAATTTTTACACTTATCAGCAAAACAAAGTTAATTTAGTAGTAAGAAGTCTCATAAGACTAGTGCCTTGCAGCATTCACTGAGACAAAAATATAGAACCAGCAATCGTATATAGAACAAAAAATATAGTACCATCTTTTACACGAACGTTTAATTTTAAAATTCTCATGCCTGGCTGGATAAAAGTAAAGTGATTTATATGTATTATAATGCTCAACTATCTAATCGATGTAATAGTTTGACTCAGAAATATAATTTATCAATTTATGCAATTTAACAGACAGGTTCTGTTTGGGGAACAGTAGCTCCATTGGCAACTCTCAGCCCCTGAGAAAAAGTAGAAAGCATGTGAGCAGAAAGAGGTGAGCCATGCACACTGATCCTCGCTGACTCCATGACCCTCATGTTTTTTTTTTTCTCTCTTCAAATTTAAGCCATTCTTGTCAATGCTGGGATTCACATCAGCTCCTTCAGAAATAAGAAACACCAATCAATAGCAGAACAAATTTGGAACATTGTTGTTCTAAAACCTTGGCCGGAGTCCACCAGATCTCTCTGTCTCTTTTTTCCAATTAAAACATTATCAACCTCAGATAAACAAGGAATTAAAGCATTCAAGATAAAAATAAATAAATAAATAAATAAAATAAAACAATATTGCATTTCCAACAGTGGATAGTTTTGAAATTGATTTAAATATATATATGTCAGATCTAAATAAACAGTCATCTAAGGATATATAAACTTTTGGATTTAAAGAAAGTAATTCCTTTCTATTTAAGAAAAAAAGGCTATATAAAGTCTTTATACAGTGTATCCAAAAATACTGTATAGTATCAACTTTATATATAGTTAAAGGCACCATTTAATAATAAACCCTTTTAAGCAAGTAAAAAAAAATTACTTTCATTTAACCCTGATTTTTGTATCAAAATGTTTGTACTGGTCTCATGTAATACTTTAACCTTAAGTGGCACGTTATCATTAGCTTTAAGTGAAATATCCTCCTTTTCAGAAGTTAACATTTGAAAACACCTTTTTGTAAGTGATTATCCATATAATATCTTTGCCAGTGAATTGAATTTCTAAATATTATTTTAAAAGAGGCTGTCCAATCCAATTCGAATTCAGTTTATTTATATAGTGCAAATTAACAACACTTGTCATATCAAGGTACTTTAGAGAGACAAAACAGTCAGATTTGTTAAAAGTTTCCATAAAGGTAAACCAGCTGATTGTGTTGAGTCAGTGACACGCATAACTTGTCATCCAGGATTAGCTGGCAGCAATGATATTTCCTTGCATTTTGCCATTGTCTCTTCTGCAATCTCTCTCACAGACAGTGGAGAGGAAGAATTCCCTTAAAACACGAAGACAGAAGCAGCCATAAAAACTTAACAAATACAGCAGAATGGGTGAATAGAATAAGGCAGAATGATGAAAAGTGGTCCCTATGTCCTCCAGCATCCTAAATTTTTTTAACTATAAGCTTTAATAAAAAGGAAAGTTTTTAACCATACCTTAAAATAGGCATGGAGTCTGCCTCACACACTAAAACTGGTAGTTGCTTCCACAGGAGAGGAGCCTGGTAACTTGAAGATCTGTTTCCCACAAGACCTGTAAAAATTCCAGGAACCATTTAATAAATGTACAGTATGTATGTGCATAAAAAACATATGTCTTGGTACCATTCCAATTTTCAATATGTCTCTCAAATGGAACACCCTGGTAGTCCTGCAATTATTACTGTATCTGAAAAAAATAATCTAATGCTTGAGAGTGCTGGCACATAGAACAGGTAACTGAATGTCGTGGAAATTCAAAATTGTTATTTTAACTTTTTCAGAATAGTGTCTCCTCAATTTTGAATAACTAAACAGATGTTGCACTGAACAGGTATCTGAAAATGTATCATTTTCAATCAAAATGATATCAGGACATTACAGTATGAATATTTTCAAACGCCCTGAAATTTGTATTTTTTGTTCTAGTTGTGTTTTTGTCTCAACTTGCTCACTCACCCTTCAGCTACACATACAGAGAAAGGCACAAATGTGGACTAATGCTGGTCTAATTGCAGCACCAGAGCCCTGAATCATCATTTAGACGGCTTTTTAGAAAACTCAATCGTGTGGACGAGCAGAGTGAACTAATTATCTGCATGCTGTTTTCCCAGCCAAGCTAGTAATTTAGCAGCAATTGACCTCCTGCAGTTTGCCAGCAAATGAAAACACGCAGGCCAGTCTGCTAACGAAGGCTCTAAAGACCCCAGGGTTTGTCCCTACTCTGCTCGTCACAGTGGACATAGAACCCCTCACTTCACTTCCAATTTACTTCTTTACTACCTCCCGGGGAGACATCATCGTCCCCACACTGTGTAATCACTTAACATGGCTTCTGCAGACGAAGGGCCTGTTGAGAGAAAAACTCAATACGAAGATTGTTGTCAGGACTCAGTGCATGTTTTTTCTATTAGATTAAATGACTTCTGTGGGACTATGTCTTCTCCACTTGTTTATAGCCACAATCTCAACATGTAGAGCAGCCTATTTGCTCCAAACCAGGAATGAAAAGCTCTTTGTAAGCAAAGATTTGTATAAGGACACAGAATGGTAAAGATCTGATGAGTGATTTAATGTCAACACTTGGGTCACACTCATGCATTTGGTTGTTTTTTTTAGCAGATGTGATGCTTCTGTTTTTCTTTCATTTATTGGTTTGCTCCTATAGGCCCCTAAAATCCTTCTTATAAGGAAAGAAAATCTCAACTTGGATCCTTTTTCTGTTTGAAAATGGATCAGTGAGAGACTGGTCGTCCTCCAACTGGGAGAAGGGACCAATTACCAGCTCAAACCCATGTTTAAGTGTCTTTGGGAAAAACAACAAATCCCCACATTAACTCCTGAAGGGCTTATTTCACACACCAAGTGGTATAACCTGCCATATGAAAGTATTTTCTCCACTGGAACTTTTCAGATTTAGTTTAAATACAAAAACCAAGTTTGACATATTTTATTACAATTTTTTTTTTTTGCACCTAGGACAATGTTAAGTATTTTATAAATGATAAGTAGCAAGAAAGAAAAATAACAGCAATCTTCAATGTCTCATCACATCTCAAAAGTATGAAATACTTTATCATCCTTTGCTTGGATACCGCCTCACATAAAGTGCAACAGTGCAACAAACGGACCACAGAGTTTGACCAATTCAAACCGACAGTAGTGCAGCCTTCTGTTAACATATCTTAGTTTAGATACATCTTTGAAAACTAGCATTGTAAAGGCTAAAGAAAATGCCACACATGATAGTGATAGTATAAAGTAAGGTGAGGTTTTACAATATCCTGAGCAGTTAAGAAACTATTTTAGCACTCTTTAATCTATCATCCATCTGCAGACATCCACATATCAGGTGACATAATCTCTCAACAGGACTATTATTAGTGGTTTTCTGCACTCCAACACAATGGTTAAAGAGTGACTCTTTTTATATGGCACCTTAACGGATTTTTGTCCCCACATACAAAATTAACAAAGTAACCCATATAGAACCATCTCTTGGTTGCAACAGCATAATGCTGGTTAATATTTTTTTATAGCAGGCACAAGGAGATTAGTCCAAGTTTATGATTGAGATAGAATGAGCAAAGTAATGACTAGGAAAAATGCAAAACCAGCCAGATAACAAACCTAAAAATGCAGAAAGAGCCTCAGTGGAATACATTTTGATGAAAGCATCTCCCCATGTTACTCCAGCCTAAAGTTCACATCATTGGAGAATCTCTGGCTTGAAAATTACTGTTGATATATTCTTTAAATTTAAACTGACAAAGTTTAAGCCATTCTGCATAATAATAATGAGCATTTTAATCTCCTGGCATAAAGTCTCCACATATCAAACCCTGGTAGAGACATATTCCAAAGGAATTGATTCTGCAGTTGCATTCCCATTGCAATATGGGATTCTAAAGCTGTATAGATCTTTTGGATTTCAAATAAACAGCACATTGTTTAAATGTTTGTTTTAACTAGGATATAATGTGTACTATTTAACTTCCACTTCCCAATGTTCTGTTTTATGTTGCGCTATCTCATAATTGTGATAGGATACATTAATTATGGGTTTGGAATAACAGAATGGGATAAAATAAAGGGGCATGAATACTAGCAAGTCATTGATGGTGCAAATAAATAAAAAAACAGGTCAATGCCCTTGACTGCAGGATTCATTATTCATATTGCTTCCTTAACTGTGTTGTTCATTTTAGAGGAGTGAAGAATTTTCACGACAAGCTTCTAAAAGTAAAACCCCTGCAAAAAGATTGGTGTTATTATGGAGATTGTTAGGTAGTACTAAATCAAACAAAGTTTTTAGTCTGTCATTAGTTTTTGTTGTTTATTTGTTTCTTTTTTTTATATGTGTGGTGTGGTGATTATCTGTACATATCAGACAGACAGTCATAAAAAAGTTCCTTCTTGTGGCTGCTAAGGTAAACATTGTGGCCTAATTAAGAGTACATAAATGCTCCAATGTGATGTGTTAATGCACTTGTGTGTACGTGTTGGCTGGCCACAAGGATCATTTTGATGGTACAGTTACTGTGAAAGTATTTTTTTACCATCAGTGATGCCAGTAACTCGGGGAGACAAAATACATCTGCTGACAACATGTTTGGAACCTTGTAAGGGTGGAAACGGCTAAGTAACATGGATTTTGAGCTGAGTCCTTAAGTGTAAGTAAGATTACAACAAATCCCTGTTTCTGCTTTGAATCAGATGACTCGTGTGTTGATTTAGAAAACTTTTAATAATGGCCTTTTGTATGGATTTGTCATACTATAGTTGTCAGAGAGCAAAATCATACCGTAAGTCTTTGTAAATAATTTTAGATAGTTTTTTTTTTTTTTTTTTTTTAACCAGCAAGCTGCTAAAACCTCAGCTAAGGATTCATAACTTCAGCTGTTTCCGCTTTACAGCTGATATTATGAACTCGGCCTAATCAATTATTTTTCAGCTGAAGGACAACAGCCAACAGTTTGATATTATGATGCCTGTCAGAATCAATAATTCACATAAATGAGGTGTTCTAGCTGCAGAACCAGCAGAGGAGCTGCACCAGCTTCAACTCCACCCAACTAGCTTCAACCCAATCAATATCAGCCTAACCAACCAAGAAAGTTTTGGGCTAGTTTGGTTTTTGGAAAATATTCATGAGAAAATTCTGTCAAAATAGTTGTCATTAAATTTTGTCTTTACAGTCACATCATTAGTTCTTTACTCTTTAAGCAGCTGTATCTTTTTCTCAATATGCATGTAATAGTTTGATGCTTTGTAAAGTAGTTCTAGAGAACATTCAGATTTGGTTTATTTTGGCTCTCCCAGGTGGACAAAAGCTATCTTGTTTTGGCCGAAAAAGACTGCATTTCCAATGAGGAGCAGCGCATTACATGATAAAAACCTGAACTCCTGGTCGCCTGCAGTCGAAACAAAATACAATTGTTTCCAGTGGCTGTCTGAAAGATGAGTAGCGATGAGGTAATGAATCAAATTGTGGTGAAACATATGTCATATGCGGATGTTGAAATTAAGACATGTTTATAGTGGAAATGAAATGTTCAACCAAACTAGCTTAATTCACGAGATCGTGTCTTACTATTATCATAACTATATTAGAAAAGCGGAAAGTATAAAAGCAAAATTAAAAAAAATAAGCTTTGTTTTATAATTTTTTGGTAAGGGCGCCATCATGTTGCAGTACCTCAAACGGTGAAGTCACTGGGATTGGTCAGTTCTAGCTCTTGTAATTGTATACATTGGATATGCTGGCAACACATCACAAAAATAAAAGATTTGGTTCAATTGAAGATGAAGCTGAAATGACCCTAAAGTGTCTAAATCACATTGCCTATGCTTTGGAGCCCCTTCACCATGTGATGCCATAGGAAGGAGAGAAGAGGCAGTTTTGGAGCCGGGGTTCTTACTACTCCTGCTACCTCACAGAACATTGGTTCTGGAGGTTAGGTAAAGCAGTAGGCTTTCGAGTCTGGCAAGCTAGCAGTCCATTGGACAGTAGGCTAAAGCCTGAAGTTGCTCTGAATGTTTTTAATTTCACTGCCTACGAATTGTGTCATGATTAGCTTAAGAGATTTAACCCACATGCAGAACACCACTGGAAGCAGAGTAAAAGTTTAACAGAGTTTATTGAATGGTTTTCACAGTTATAACATGAACTGGTTCAGGCACAGGTCCGCGGCAGGAATCATTGATGTCTGCAGAGATGGATAGTTTGATTAGCCAGGCAGTCAAATGTTTGTTGAGTTAGATTATTCAGAATATACCTTGAAGAGGTCCAGACTGATCTTTGTGAGAGAGGGAACCGGTTGGGTCCAGAGACGGTTGGTTCAGCAGAGTGCTCAGCAGCAGCAGCATCTTGCTTCTTACTTGTGAGTGGCAGACCTTGATTTGAGTTTCCAGCTCTTCCTTGAGAGCAGCAGGAGGAGTCCAGATTGAAATCTTCAGGTTTGGCTCCCTTGGGCAGGCAGGCAGGTTTACATGCAAAGCTCATCCAGAGCTTTAGACTTAAGACGGATTTCCTGTGAGCAAAAGACAGAGTCA